GGGGGGGGGGGGGGGGGGGGGGGGGGGGGGGGGGGGGGGGGAAGGAGATATTAATGTTTCCTGTTTTATTGGGAAAAAATAAATCGCACCAGGGATGAAAATCAAAAAGCACTACCACTGAAGAAGCAAACTTCATTCTCATGCATGGTCATTTTTCAGGGAAAGAATGTCATAAATATTTCCTTTTAATTGACTAAACACATCTGTTGAAACAGCAACATTTCCTAGTCTGTGGGCGAAAACAATCAAAAGATTAGCACAGTAAACCAAAACATGGAAGACAAGCAGAAGAAACAAATGGTAACAGGAACTACTAGAAGATATAGGAAGATGATCTAAATTGCCTCTCAGAATCAGAGACCTGCTCCCAACTGAATCCTGAGGGACTTTGATACAATAAAACCAGACATTCTTGTAAGATGGCAAATATATCCCATAAACTGTAATTTCAGCATAGCTCTCTACTAAATGACAACCCTGTAGGGCAAGAACAAACTACACTTCAACATATTATCATCTGTAAGTTATCTTATTTACACTGAACTCCATACTGCTTAAAATATTTTAATAGATTAATATAATTAAAACAGCTTTCACCACAGCTCTTTTCTGTTGCACCTCTTCTGAAATAAATCTTTTCCAAGAAAAAGCACATGGATAGAGCTGACTGACTGAGCAGAGCAAGTGTGGCAGCAACTCTCAGTAAGTCCTGAGAAGGCCCCAAAATAGATCTTAAAAGTATCACTTGCTTTGAGCTGTTTAAGAGCCTTTGTATCTTACTTTGATCCACAGCACTTACTAGCCAAACATTAGTTTGGTATGTGTGATATGTGCCAAAAGCTTTTGTCTTAGAAAATTTTTTATCTTTGTCAATATTTTTAAAGTTGATTCATTCCTAACATGTGAGGTAACTCCTACTAGAATAGAAACTGAGTTGCTACGCTCTGTCAGCACTCAAAAGGTTAAACAAACTAAATATTGGAGTCATTTCAGCTCCCCTGTGTTAACACTGCAGTTGTAAACTTATTGCGATATACATTTAGTTGTTCTAAGAATTAATGACTGATTCAGATAAAACGTGTTCAGCTGGTAAGCAAAATAAACTTCTGAAAGAATCTATTCTTATGAAACACCGTAAAGACTACTCCAATTTTAAAGAGACACCTGTAAATGAAGCAAAGGCAAACTGTGAACGCAGCGGGGGCTGCTCACTTACCTTGCCATTTGGATTTTTCCACTGAACATGATGCTGTGCCCCTAAAGCACACGCATGCATACAGTCTCACAGAGCTCACAGGGGGCTGCTGCTTTTCGAAGTGGAAAGTAAAACGTGCCTGGTCCTGAGTGGGGACTGCAGTAGAAGCATTTACACAGTGCTATGGAGACCTGTTGTTAGCAATCTGCTCTGCCAGAGGTCACGTTTCCTTCCTGCTCACAGCTACAGAATTGCCCTCCCGTGACACTGGCTCCACCTCTACCTTGAAAGGGACACGGTTGATCCCCGCTGCCTGATCCAGGTCTCATCTCCCAGAGACGACCGTGACTGCACACATCTGTAGGGAATGCGCTCCTGGAAACATTGCCAGGAATTTTCAAAATTATTTTTCAGTTTGTCTTTTCTGAAGACCCAATTGTAAGCTGTCCAGCAGATCTTCCCAAGTAGTACAGATTCACATCCAAAAATGTCAGCACCAATCCTGAATGTGCCGAGTTTAAAAGTTCTGGTAAGATATTACCCTATTGGAAAATAGACACTTCACTTTATGGCTTATCTGCCATAAAACTACACTGTAGGACATACCTCATAATTCAACGTACACCAAGTCTGAAGAAACAATTTGTACTTTAAATTAGTTTGCTAAATTCACTCATACCACACATTTAAAATTATGTTTTCTGCAAGGCAGATTTGAAATCACTGAAGTTGGTCAGTGAAGGAAATGGTCAATCTAACAGCTAGCTGTTTAGTCTGCTGAAAGTACATGGCCAATGCAAATTATTAAGCATTCTAATTTTTTTTTAGATTCTTATTGTAAGAAACATGTACACTTCTGCAGAAACATAAAATCTGCAGATTCCCATGTGCTGTGAGTACCACCAACTCAAAGGCGTAAAGTTCAGTTTTGTCTGAAAATGAGCAACAGCCAAAGCTTCACTGAACAGTAAAACTCAAACTGGCAAACATTTCTGACTGGAGTAAATGGTTTTGAATCCTTCTTCCATAGTTTATGGAAAGTAAAGGCAGAGGGTTTGCTTGAGCTGTGAAAGCCTTTGACAGCAATCAGTAACTCAAGTGAGTTCTATTTCTCACAGGAGAATATTGCCACGGTACTTATATCCCCTTCCTGGCATCAAAGATGTCCCACCTTAACCCCTGGTTAAGGTATACAACTGGAACTCTTCAAACCTGTTTCTTGTGAAGGAAAGCAGGCAACACAGGTCGATCAGTTCTGCATGTGGTTTTAGAAATATTTATACAAGCTACTTCATTCTGGAAGTTCTCGAGCTTCTTTACGATAACTTTTTTTTTTGCCACCTACAGACAGTGCCATTCAGAAAGGGAAGACTCTTACAAAGAAGGTTAATGCAATAGAAAATGAGTTCTGGCCAAGAGCTACTAGACTTTTGTCTTTAAAAAAACTGTTGTGAATCTTTAACATCTACAAAGAAAAAGCAATAAAAGCCTAGTTTGTAAGGATCTTATCCAAATAGGGCCCATACTGTGAACGGTAGGCAACTCATCTACCAACTGAAAACAAAGGCCAGAGTCAACCCTCTTTGATGTTTAACAGTAACCTTTGTGGATGGTATTCTGCAGAGATCCACTTCTACTTCTTTAAGAACCAGAACAAAAACTAACACGGATGTCTCTGAGGATATTTCTGTTGATGTGCAGTTTGACTAATTACCACCTTAGCAACAAGGTCCACGTAGAAAGTTCCCATCCTGCCAATACAATGAATTGTTCATCTACGTTCTAAACTTAAATCTCTGTCATGACAGAGGTTACAAACAATCTGTTTTACAAGAATATTTTTAATCCAGACTAATTCTGTGACCCCATTCACACGAGCCCTACGGACAAATAAGGAGGGTTATGAGATGGAGAACCAACAGCCTGGAAGCCTCTCACTCTCAAAATAAGCATTTCCTAAAATTTGGAGGCTATTTCAAGAAGCAAAGTTTTCCTTCTCCATTTCTAAATCCTCACAGCAATCCATCATACTGCTCAAAGAGGTGAAAACAATGGAAGAACAAATGCTCCTACTAAGCCACCACAATGGACTTTGCCCAAAAGACAAACTTTTGTCATGAAACAGTGTCAGGGAAGTTAATGTTTTACCTGTTTTAAGTCTCCTGGCAGAACTCAAAAGAACAGCTCAACACTGCTCCACAGCAATGAAAAAAGTCACTGTCAAGAGTTTCTTACTGCTGTACACTTCCACTAGCTACCACAGCTTCAGAATTTAATTATTCAGAATAGTTAAGGAGTACTTTTATGGCCCCTGACTGAAATCACTGAAACACTTCAGCAAAAGAACAAATTTAGGGGGGTGGGGGGGAAGGGATATGGGGGCTTAACAATTTAGATTAGTATTTGTTTAATAATCTGGCCAATTAAGGTACATGGAGGTAAGCACTCCTCTTCTCCCAAAAGCCACCAGCATGGAAATCTAAAAAGCACTCAACATAGCATTGGGGGAAAAAAAAAAAAAGTAGGTACTTGTTCTTCCAGGACATCCAAGATTATTTCACAAAATTGTTGTATTTTACCCTTATATTTACCAGCTATTTGGAAAGACAAGCCAAAACCTTCCAAGGCGTAAGGCTGAGTTGTTTCTTCAAAACCTGTTTAAGTAATACATGACACACAGTCCTTTTCGCACAGCAACATTAACAATGAAAAAAGAATTCAACTGATACAGTTTAACTTGCAGCATGCCCAGGATAGAAGGGATACCAGAAGGTGTATTCCAAATCCCAAGACAGGTAGTTTTACCACTTTTGAAGATTTTATCTACTGTGTGCCTACCTGCTTGAGCAGGTTCACACCTTGCACCCTTCAACAGTCAGGTTTCACCGTCTCAGCTTTGTCAATTATGAAATTAGGAAGCAAACCTGAAATGAGAAGAAAATGCACTGAAGCATCTTTGTATGTACATTGTTGTACTTACTGCCACCAACAATCAACAGGAGCCTAGCTTCCTTAAGCTATTATCCAGTGCTGTACACAAAATGTTCATCATATCTGAAGTATTTCAACAGAGCGCATACATTGCAAAAGTTCATCGGCCGCTTCGCCATGAATTCTTTCATGTACTTTTAGCAAGAAGGTAGCTTCTAGAATGGTTATTCAAGCTTTCCTAATTTTAAAGTCTCCTTATTGCTTCCTCCCTCCACCTCCCCTGCCCCCATCCCATCTCCTGTTATATACATACTAATCACTTTCATTACATCTGTACAGCTGTATTGCAGTAATTCCTCTCAGCTCATTTGTATGGTCTTACTGGATTCAGGACTAAGTATTTTCCCATATTGTTAAAAGAGAATCCACAAGCCCAGAGAAACAATTGTTTTCCTGACAAAGTCATCCATCAGCATATCGCCGTCTTCAAAGGGTGCCACCAGTCCACTGTGAGCTGTTTTGACAGGTCTACAATTACATTTCAGTATCCTTCCGTGCACTGCGAGAGGGGTGTAATTTTTAAAAAAGAAAACAACAGTAAACACAACCTCATAAATGACTCCATGTTATTAAACCCCTGATCTAGCAGCAAGAATGTCATTTAGTCTGTGTTCAACCATAAAACAAACTCATTTAAAGCTATTCATTTCTTCTGTTTACTTCATTGAAAAAAAAGGTTTCAAGGCTACTTGAAGATTATACTTTCTCTGAAATGGCAATTAAGTCCTATTCTCACCCAAGAGGGAAGGTTGTATTGCAAGGCTTAGTGTTTTCTAAATCATGCTTACCAATCTTTGAAAAAAGCCAAATAAAGAACACACACCACAGACTTTTTTTTTTACTGTTGTCATGTCCGTCCATCTAAAAATCTGTGAAGGTGAGAAATCTTGCCTTCTACCTTACAAAGATCTTTGACATTCAGCCATTCACAGTGGCTACCAGAAAAAAAAAAAATTGCCATAACCATTTTTTCTTGCTTTGTGATAAAACACTTGGGGTTGGTTTGTTTTTTCACCTATTCCCTAAATATCAACATTACCACAAACTTTTGGTACAATCCACTGCACACAGGTGTCATCTAGATAAAAAGCTGGCTGAATTCTCTTTTGTAGAATACTGTTTCCATATTTAGAGCACTACTACAAAAAAAATGAACCAAGACAACACACAACAAGCAAGAACAGCTAACCTTTCTTCCAGATATGGAAAGGAAAGCAGGAAACGTGCTCAATGCTCTCTGCTGAAGCAGAAACCACAGTCCAGGAGTTTCTTATTCCAGAACACTGTAAAGAACATTTCTATATGCCAAGACATGGGTCAAATAAAGAACATTTCTAGTTTTCACAATGCCTTTTTCCAGGAATTTGTTTCCTATTTCCAACTGGCCTGTATTACTTTATGACTGTCTCTTTCCATCTTTCCACTCCTTTTTTTGAAGTCTTTCAAGCAGTACTCATCATTATTTCAGACCTTTCACAGATGTTAAAACAGAACAGAACCACCACGGCCCTGTAGAGAAAAGCCATCTAACAAAATGTTACAGCTGAAATCACTCCATCTCAAGCACATCATCGAGCATTGCCACACCACGTAGCACCACAACTTGCCAACTTAGAAAAACACGGCAGGTATGTCCCTACCAAAAGCAACAGTTTATTTGTCTTCCTATCTGTCTGTAACATACTGAGCATAAACACTAAGAACATTTGGAAACAAGCGAAATGGCTTATGTACATACCTTAGAAGTGTGCACAGCGCTGCAAAACTTGTTACAGTAGTTTCAGTTTATTGCACAGCATTTACAAAACATTAACTTGTAAATAGTAAATATTTTGTAAAAACATTTGTAGAAAGCTCTATATAATTGTAGTAGGAAAACAAAAATTTACTTGTTCCTTTCTGGCCAGCATTTAATGAAACTGTTACAGTTTATTTTGCTCTAAGACCCAAAGCAAACAAGATAGCACCTCATTAGAGAACACATTCCTGCCTGGGCATCTTGTCATCCATTTAGTGTTTGCTAGCACAAACATTCCATTTGGGAGAAACAGCTGAACTGCTACTTTATTTGCTCACAACAGCCTTCATTAACAGGGAACAAAAAAAAAAATTAATTCTCCTTCAGCTAACTCTACAATTCATAATCCTGAGCTCCAAAACCCAAACGAGATCAGTTAATTCTAAAAAAAAAAAAAATCATCCAAAAACAAATAAAGGTAAATATTCGGGCTCTGCACGTGTTTTGTTCGGTGGCTCGAGTGAGTTTCCCTAAGTTCAACCAAAAGGAAACAAGTTAATTTAAAAAAAAAAAAAAAAAATCCTACAAAACATCTTACAAAGTGTACTCTGTATAATAAGGCAACAGCAATCACTACAAAAATACACTTATTAAAAAAAAAAGTCACAGAACTGTATAGTAAAAAACCAGTTTCATTTCCCACAAAACAAGCTTTTTAACATTTGGATAAGATACCTGAAAGACTTACATCAATTTAAACTGTGGCAGCCTTTGTCCTAGCCAAGAAACTGCCTCTCTACAACTTAAAACCCCAGTAGATAAAAATTATTTATTGCTGATTGACCCTATATCCCAATGCGTACTCGACAAAGATATCAAAGATATTAGAAAATGCCAATATGAACAGAAATGTCAACACTGTGTTGTTTTTGAAAGCATTGAAAATAAGAAATGAACTTTTCATAAATTTATTAACAATAGTAAATCACCTAAATCCAGGCCTAACAGAGGCAGAAAATTTGATCAAGCAATTAAAAATCCAGTCTTATACGTGATCTTGTAATTCACAGCCCTGTAAAAATCATCACTTCTGTGCATTTTAATTCACCTGCCTCCCAGAGAAGCAGAGGAGGCAAGAGGCATCTGTAGATATGTCAGAAGACTTGGGTAAGAATACTGCTGTTCAGAACTGGCAAGTATTAGTTAAGATACAATGACAAAATAAAATAGGAAATAAAAAGCGTCAAATAAAACAACAGTAACAACTTTCAGCATCTTTTAAAATTAATTTCAGTATGACCTTGTTTCAATTTAACTATCTACCTACAGAATAAGAGTTGCACTATGTCCAATACCAAATTGCTACTTGAACACCGACTAACACCAGTATGAACAAATTGGTTAAATATGCCAAACATGAGCTACGGGACTAATGTAAAAACACATGTAGAACTGTAATAAATTTGGTCCTTAGTACTTTCTCTTGCACCCAGGCTCAATACACTCCGTAAAAGCAGCCTGACACCAGTGTCAAATCCGAGCAATCTTTGTTTACTAGGCATGTACCTGGCAAAGAATAGAAGAGAGATTTTTTTTTTCTGCAGCAAGTGCCCCAAAAGGATATTTTTCATACCGAGCATTAATTCCCTGGAAAGATCTGCAGTCCAAGCAGCACTCTGCACTTGCAGCTGTTGAGGCTGCTGCGGGGATCGCAGTGCGCTGGCAGCTCACGCAGCGGAACGCAGCCAGAGAACACCCCGAAACCCACCTCCCTTCAACCCAGCCACGGTTAGCCCCAAGACACAGGGTACCTGCTCTTCCCTTGCAGCTCCCAGATCTACGTTTTATCAATGAGCAAATCAAAACAATGACCATAGCAGTTTGACTATCATGAATTCCTACATTAGATTAAAAGCTGAAAATAATATTCCTAAATCAGCTAAGTTTGACAACCATCAATATACAGAACTAAAGCTCCTGTTCTAAAAGAGCAGTCCAGAAGCACAACAGATTAACCTTGCTATGCATAACAGCTATGCAAAATCTATTTCCCAGCAAGCTTTGTACTGCAGCTGCAGGAGATTTTGCTGTGAACTTACTTGAAGTGGAAAAAAGTTGCAGCTATCTACATGTCAGAGCACCCTGGAACTGCCAGCAGTAACGTACAGAGTACAGAAAGCACGCACTGGCGTTGCTATTCAGAAATCAAAGTCTAATCATCTCACTTTCTCCTTGATTCTTCCTTTTCAAGCTAAGGTTTAGTCTTGCACTAAAAATTAAGTATGATCTTGGTAACAACCAAACACTTAGGGGGAAGAAAAAAAGAGCCACCTGCATAGCTCCCACTGCCAGCCTGGTGGACTGCAAATTAAAATGCTATTTCTAATCATCCAGCTCAAATTTCATTAGCGTAACAAAAAGCAGAACAACTCCTCTTTCTAGATCAAGTATCCAGTGTATGTTTTCAGCAGATTAACGACACAGGTTAAACTAAAGCCTACTGTTACACCTACCAATCTCCTCAGCAAAAATTTTCCTGGACAACACTGCTAAAACCAAAACCACCACCACCAACAACAAAAAAAACAAACCAAAGCTATGTGTTCTACTTTAATACATGCCAAACACACTTTGGGGGAAAAAATGTTCAGACTATTCTGCCATGGCAAGAGAAGCACTAGTTCGTCAACAGCAGTTCCAATTTCTCTCCAGTCTATATACTTTCAAAATTAAGATTTTCCTTGAAGCATGTTTGGATTTTCACACAATTAAACTAATCCCTAAAGAACTTCAATATTAGAGTTCCAGCCCTGGTTTCAGATAATCAGAAGCAGGTTCTATAGAATGGCTAGAAGACTATTTACAGGTCCTTCCAAAAAGGACTGATTCTGCAGATCGCAGTAATTTACGATCCCTTTCCAAATAATTTGACCAGCTATAAACACCAACTGGTGACTTTAATTCTGTCACTAGTTACTGGGCTAAGAACTATTTTATATATCTTTGAGCTTAAAAAGTCTTATGTCATTATTCAGACAGTTTAGTGACGGGGAGCTCAAAGAAAACAAATCCAAGAAAAAGCTGATTAGAAATCTGGATGGTTTTGTTATACAAGTCAGGCAGCTGGATTTTCTGTTAAACACAGAAGAAAAACATCCATAATTAAAAAAAAAAAGGAAAACCTATTTCATCAGC